GATCTGCCAGTTTCTTTGCATCCCCACAGCCACGGCCCACATTGCCTTTTCCTTAGAGTTTTAAGTAACACTGTCTCTGGACTCCACCATGGCCCTTCCCTTCTGCTCAATGGCTACAGCATAAAATTCAAGATCTTTAGCAAGGCACACAGGCTATAATGAACCATCCTAACTTCATGGACTAGTTTAACACACTCTTGTCTTTTTTACATCTCCTGTTTAGACTACCCCTTTAATCCCATTTTTCTGCTGGTCACATACTTATTTATCCTTGAGAATCCAGATTAAGCACTTTTTCTACCCCTGAACACCCTAGAACTGACTGCTTCTCTCCTTTTCACTCAAATACTTTCATTAGTGTGCTTCTGACGACAGCACAGAAAGCCACAAAGTATGGTTCCTGAGAACATTTCAGGGGATCTGCAAGGTCAGAAATATGCTCCCAATAATACTAAGATGTTTGTGTATCTTTCCCATTCTCTAAAGAATGTACATTTGAGTTTTCTAGCAACCACATGACACGTGGTATCAGAACATATGGAATGCAGAAGCAGATGAGAATCTGGCTACCTTCTGTTAAGCTACACATAGAAGATATCTTCAAAACAACAACCCTCTTCTAACTGATTTTTTTTTGTTTTGGTGTATATATATATATATATATATATATAGTTGCTTTTCAAAGAAATACATTACTTGTGTTAACGTGTAATAGTTTTATCGTTTTTTAAAGCAATTAGTGAACATTTAAATTTTTTCTGTTTTAATGTCTGATATTGTAAATATCAGCAGACATGTCCACATATAAAAAAACCCTTTGGGCTCCTCAGTTATGTTGAAGAGTATCAAAGGGTCCTGAGAGCAAAACATTCGACACACTGGTAGAGTAATCAGTTACATGTCCTCAAAGAAAGATTTAGGCCAGGACTTAATCATTCATTGTTTTATTCCAAGGGCCACAGGAGACGCACATAACACAACAGGCATCCCACATAAGGTTTGCTGGATAAGGTCAATCGGTCAACGGAATCACTCTCCTTAAGATTTGGCATATTAAAACACATCCGGGGAGAACTTCTGCCTATGGTGGAGTAAAGATATTGGCTACTTATCTCCCCAAGAAAACAATCATAAACCTAACAAAGCTGTCAAAAACAACCATTTCAAGGCTCTAGAAACTGAACAAAAGCAAACAACAAACTGAGAAGCATTTTCTTCAAGAAAAACTGGTGAACTACAGGTAAGAACAGTGAGTGTCTTTGGAATTCTTGCCTGGGGTGGTTCTCATTCCCTCACCGACGCTTGATTTGCATGAAGTGGTACCAGGGTGGGGCTGGCAACGAAAACCAGCATCTTTGCTGCCAGAGAGTCGACCTGAACTGGTGAAGGAGGCAAAAACCTACCACCCAGCTATACTGTTGCTAAAAATAGCAAAAAGGGTAGGAAAGGGATGGAGGGGAAAAAACCACAGTTCTACCAGCTTAAGGTTATGTTCACACTAAGCTCGGCACCCACCCCTCACTCACTGGGACGCTGTGTGCACGTGCAGGGAAGACCTGTGAGGTCCAAGCTCTCTACACCATCCTTAGTTGACTAGGAGGCGGCACACAGAAAGGAAGACCTGGGTAAGCCCAACAGAAAGGAAACATTAGGGCAGATTTGAAAAATGCCTGAACACTGAACACACTCCCCAACACACACGCAAGTATGTCAGTGGAAGGTGGAAGTCTTACCAGCTCATGGTGTTTGTGCACAACCTTGGACCAACTGATGGCTGCTAACTGACCTATGCAGACCCAGGGCAACCCCTAGAAAGCAAGGCTAAAAGCAAACAAACAACTCTCCCTAACATGGACACCAGTGGTCATGACAAAATGACAAATATCTGCAGAAAAACGCCTGACATTTTACTAAAAACAAACAAACTAGCAACGATTACAACTCTAAGGGGGGAAATAATGAAAATCCAGAGCTGCTATAGTTTGACCTAAACTGTCCAATTTTCAATAAAAATTAAGACAGAAAAGCAAGAGAAAAAAGTATTTAACAGAAACTTCTGAGTGGGTCAAGAGAGCAGCTATTAGAAAGAAAGGAAAGAAACAAAATAATATTTAAAGAATTAAAGTATGACAATAATGACTAATCAAATAGAGACTATCAATAAAGAAAAATTACACAGAGAGGATCTGAAAAGCAGAGTGACTGAAAATGCATCAGGTATGTTCAACAGCAGGTATGAGATGGCAAAAAAAAAACAAAAAAACCCCCCAGAATCAGTAAATTAAACCCCTCAAATTTCATGAAAACAAATGATCTACAAGAAACTCAACAAACCATAGGCAGGATAAACACAAAGGGATCCTAAACACATTACAGTCAAATTGTTTAAAGACAAAAGAGAAAAGAGTAATGAAAAAAATCATCACAATTAACAGCTGAATTCTCATAGAAACAGTTAAAGCGAGAAAGAAGTAGGATGACAATCCACCAAAAGGGAAAAGTCAAATAAGAATTCTGTATCTACAGAGACAGAAAGAAATTTAGTGGTGTCTAGGGCTGTGGGATTTGGGGACAGAATGGGGAGTGAATACATAGGGTTTCTTTTTCAGGTGAAAATGTTCTAAAATTGAAAGAGGTGATGACTGCACAACTCTGTAAACATATGCTAAACTACTGAATTACTCATTTTAAATGAGTAAATTGTATGGTATGTGAATTATATCTCAATAAAGCTGTTTTTTAAAAATGGCAAAATCAAGATATTCCTAAATCAATGAAGACTAAGAGAAATCACAGCTGAAGATCTGTCTTATAGTAAATAATAAGAAAAATTCTTATAGACTGTAAGGAAATGACACAAGAGTACTCTGAATTCACAGGAAGAAATTAAGAGTGCCAAAATTGATAAATTTATAGGTAAAAACAAAACACTGTATAAATATATATTTCTCTTTTCTTCTCTTATTCCTCAGGAAGACTGTATAAAACAATAATTGTAACATTCTGTTTTGGGGTGAATAACAAATGTAGATGTAATCTATATTACACAGGTAACACAAAGGATGGGAATGAAATGTAGCTATACTGGAGCAAGGTTGCTATATTTTACTGGAATTAAGTCAACATTAACCTGGATAATTAGCATGCACATTATAATCCCTAGATCAACATTTTAAGATTATCATTCAAGAAACATAGTTTAAAAAAATCAGAAAAATTTAAACAGTATACTGAAAAGTATTTTTTAAATAAAGGCAGCAAAGATGGGAGAGAAAAAAGACATGAGATACCTAAGAACAGCGTAAAATGGGAGATAAAAATCCAACCTTAGCCATAATTACATTAAACGTGAGTGGATTAAACATTGTAATCAAAAGCAGAGACTGCCAGTGCAATCAAGCAAGAAAAAAAAAAAGTATTTATACTGGAAAAAAAGTTCAATTATCTTCACAACCAGAAGACATAATTCCACATGTAGAAAATCCTAAGGAATCCTCAAACTTTTTGAACCAATAAGTGAGTTCAGCAAGGTCTAAGGATAAACAACCATGATACAAAAATATTTGTTTCTATATACTAGCAATGAAAAATCCAAAAAGAAATTATCCACAACAGCATCCAAAAGAATAAAATACTAATAATTTAACAACAGAAGCACAAGATTTGTACACTGACAACTATAAAGCATTGCTCAAGAAAACTGGAAATCTAAATAAATGGAGAGAGATTCTGTGGTGATGGATTGGAAAACATATTGTTAAGATGCCAATACTATTCAAAGTGATCTACAGATTCAATTTACAGATTCAATACAATCTCTATAAAAATTCCGGCAAGATTTTTTTGTGAAAACTGACAAGCTAATTCTAAAATTTATATGGAAATGCAAAGGACCCTGAATAGCCAAAAGGATTTTTGAAAAGAACAAAGTTGAAAACTTATGTGTCTTGATTATGAAAGCAGATTTGGGGTTGTCTGGGGTTTGGGGTGGCAACGGGAAAACACAGCAAATGGACATAAGGATCTTTTAGCAATGATGGAAATGGTCTAAACTGGATTATGATGATGGCTATGCAATTCTATAAACTTACTAAAAATCACTGAATTGCACATTTAAATGGGTGGTGAATTTTATGGTAAATACATTATACCTCCATAAAGCTATTAAAAAAAAGATCTGTACACAGATGTTCTTAGCAGCTTTATTCATATTTCCCAAACTGGAAACATTTCAGATGTCCTTCAACAAGAAAATAGCTTAGGGGAGGAAAAGGACTTAAAAGGAAGAAAACAAAACAAAAAGAAAAATTCAAAGGTAATGTATAAAACTAACTAGATGAGGAGAGACTAGGGATAGTGAGACTAGTTAGTTAGGAGACAGTTGCAAAAGTCTAAATAAAGGTTCTGAGGTACTAAATTGAGTAGGAATGAAGAAAGATACATGTAAAAGGAGAGAATCACGGGTCATTAGCAATGATTAATGATAAAACAACAAAATAGTTAACATTTATTGGGCACTTACTACGTATCAAGCATTGCATTAAGTACAATACTTAAGTAATTTCACTGTCACAACAATTCTATAAAGCTCTGCTGTCTATTAATAGAGAGATACTCTGAAGTTGAAAGTGTTCGTGTAAATTTATCCAAAGTTACAGATATGGAAAACTGAATAGCTACTGTATATGTGTTTCAGGGGTGTGAGAAGGGGTGAGAGAAGAAATGACTGAGGACTTGGATCCCCCATCCCCCCACTGCCCCCTGGCTCAATGATTACTTCTCAAGTAATTGTGCGGTATTAGTAATCATGTTATCTTAGGGAAAGGAAAACAATCTCATCCCTAGGAATCCAATTTACCTCTAAGGGGCTTAGATAAACAGTCTGAATTGATCTGGCACCCATACTGCTTTTTATTTTGTGAGTAATTACCACAAATACTAATCAGGAGTCTTTTTCATAATTTCCAAAGAGTAAACAGATCTTTAGCATACTCATGTACCTTTCTTCCATACGGTTTTTCTACCATATTGCTGTCACTGTCAGAATTTTCACTTTGAACTGGTTTTGTGAACCCAGATTTGGGCATCTTACAGCTGTTCAGCTAGCTTCCACCTTTATCAGTCTTCTCATCCTGGATCTGTAAAGAATGGATATAGAAGGGTTATTTGTATACATATGCAATAAAACCTACTTAAAGTTTATGCACCACAATTAGTGCAATTTCCTCTATGTCTCTGTAAAATAATTAATTTTCTCAGAGAGGCTAATCAAGCCTAAAATAAATTTTCATTTAACAATTTGAGCTTCTAATTAAAGCTTCCTTGTTCAAGTCCATTCAGTTTGCCACTGAAAAGAAGAAAAGACAACTTCCATATTTCTTCCCATCTTCTCCAGACTAATATCTAACATCAGTTTCCTGGATAACGAGCGGCAGTCCAAGTGGAAGCAAGGTGTTTGTCATTCCAGCATGGTTTCAATGGCAGGAGCTCCTAACAGATTCTGCAGTAGTTCTGCACTGGTCTGGAAATTATTTCTGAAGACCCAACCAGTAACTTGATAGGTTTGATCAGTAATTTTATAACATCTAATTCTATTTTAAATTAAATTAATTAAGTCCTTACTACTTAAAATCCCCAGAGTGGTTTATTTTCATTCACTGTACTCCCAGACATCTATCCCCAGGTATCCAGTCACTCTATTGACCTATTTGTTGATTTAATCCTTATCATACTGTACTATAGTTATCACTTCATGTATTGTTTTCTTTCCAACTTATTCAGCCTTCTGTCTCCTGCTCTGCAAGCTGATTTAATAGGCCAAAGAACTTCTGGGAAGGTTTTGCTTGAGAGATCCAGAAAAAATTCCCAAAAGGGACTTTTACATAAGAAAGGGGAAGCCATGAGACTATACCTGTATTGCTGTCTGATGACCTATTAGCCACATGTGGTCGCTGAAAGTTAAATTTATTAAAGTTGCTACCAAATGATATGGTGCAGACACATATTTCTACTACCCCAGAACGCTCTACAGCACAGCACTGGGCTAAACTGAGGATGCTGGCCAACGGGACTGTGACATGAGCCACAGTCACAAGCAGAGTAACTGGCAAGCCTGATTTTAACTATTTCACGCTATAAATTTCCTATAGATGGGTATTACAGACTTAAGTAAGCTACATTCTAGCATCTATATGAATTATTAAAACTCAGATATCTTGAACAAAAAACCAGTAAAATCTATGCTCTTCAAATTGTTCTACTGGTGCTTTAAAATTAGTTTGGTTTCAACAGAAACAAAACCAAAATCCCTTAACTAAACTGAACTAATTGATAAAATATAAAAAAAAACTAGTAGGTTAAATTAACCTGGATATAGCCAAATTAGAGTATATTTCAACAAAAAAAAGCTGCCAGACTTTAAATAACTCAAATCGTCCATTTATAGATAAGGAAACAAGGAAACAAAGGGAAATTTTTGACACTACACACAAAAGGCAAAGTTTCCCTGACAGCCACTTAACGGATTCGGCTATTACCATATAAACAGAATCACTTAAACTTAGCACTGTCCTCAGAGCTAGCTTACAGAGTTAGAGTTACAAGTCATATATAGACACAAAAGTTCAGACTCAAAAGCAAAACTGAGCTGCATAGTATCAACAGGCATTAACCTAGGTGAGACTATGAAGATAAAGCAGTATCTTCTGTAGATTAAGCAAAAAAGTTATCGGTGAATGAAGACGTGTTGTATTTCATCAGAAAAATTATACATGACAATAAATTTATATTAATGGGCTGTATGTTTTAAAAAGCTTGTATTATTTTTCAATGAGTTTATTTGGAAAATTTCAGCACTAACAATAGAAATCGCGATTGGATTTTAAAACTGTAACTTCAGTCAAGGAAGCATTTAGTATATAATTAGGTTCTGGGCCCATGATATATACTG